GAAGAAAGATTTTACAATAAATGACATCTTACAATAAATTAGAGGCAATAGAAAGATACATGTGCGTGAAAATTTGCGTTGAAAATCATAAAATTGTATTCCCTCAAGTTTCATTGTAAGTATCATTTTAACCAATTTTAAGTAGATTAAATATTTTTAAACATACATATATGCTCTTACTAAATATAATGTTCAATGATTCAAATACAAAATTTATTAGTTTTAAGTAAATGATAAAATAGGAATTAAGTGTAAAAAGTTATCTTGAAAATATAGAATAACATTCTTTTTGAAACAAAAAATAACTCTAAAATGATATTTTTTTGTAAAACCAATGAAGTATTTATTTTGTAACAAAAAATCTTAACCGTCTATCGCGAAGTTTTGACTTTTTGGTCTATACATTTTCGTAGATCGGACTACCGTAACACATAAATTAGTATTTCTCTAAGAAAAAAGAATTCAGCATGTTATAATAACACACACTACAAGAAAGAAGCTCAGAAACGACGGTGAATTCTGTCGAAAATCCGTCGCAAAGGATCCATTTTTGATAGATTTTCGACGAACTAAATGAAGTCGTTTCTAAGTTGTTGGAAATCTGTTTTTGTCGGAAATCCGTCGGAAATGTGTCCAGATTTACGACGGATTATCGACGACGATTTATCAACAAACTTCTGACGGATTGGAACCGTCAGAATGATCCGACCACCTTTTCTATGGATCTCTGAAAGGACATTTACGATCACTTTTATGTACATAAAAAACGAATTCACCATGTGAGGGATAGTACCATAATTTTTTTTGGTGTCTGCAATCCGCAACCAACAGTTGGTAATACTATTATTGAGATGTAAATCACTTCTTTTAACTGAATTTAAACTAGTGATACCTCAACTATCAGTAGACCAAACCAAACCCAACTTGGTTATTTTATGTATTTTCACCTTAGGCTGATTGACTTTTACATTGATACACAAAAATAAACTAAAACGATGCACTAAAAGTCTATCCAAAACAAAACAATGTGCACAGCATAATATGTCAAATTTGTCGGTAGACCACATCAAACATGAAGAATCGATAATGTTTTGAGTTCGAAGATCGACAACAGGTAAAAGACTAATTTAACATGTTCCAAAGAATTTATGAATATGTCTATATCTTTTTGATTAGCGAAAAAACAAATTAGACCGCGAAAGACGGATTCATTAACCCGTTAGTTACACTGAAAATGAAGAGAGTCTAACTCCACACATGTGAAATAATGGATCTAACTAGTGATCTAAAACGGTACATGATTTTTAGTTGTTAAAAATAATTATAGCACTTAAAAACCCAATTAAATAGCCGTAAGAAAAAAGTAAAAGAAAACTCAACAAAATGTCATTTTTAGCGATATACCTTGTATCCTAACGATATTAAAATTACCAGTCAAACCTAATATCGACACGGTATATTTTTTACGCCACTAGACTATAGCG